TGTGTGTGCGTGTGTGTGTTGACATCAATACATCTTTAAATCTTTATCTGCATAACCAGAGTTTGTTGGATAGTGTGGATATCTTTCACTATAATACTTTGTATTGCAAACTAAATAGTTTTTTTATGTCTGCTTTTTAATGACAGTTTTCCTTCTTTTGCAGCACCTGCATGTGATGTTTAGTTGGGTGGCGGGGGTAAAAAAATCAGCGATGAAAATATTTATTTGGGTTTAGAATAATATATTTGGACAAGCAGTTCTCGGAGGACAATTTAAGTTCTATTGGAACAAAATAAGGGATGGGGACCATGAATTTGATGCAACAGATTAACTAATCATTAACAGAAATTGTTATTTATTTGTTGGGAGGTAATAGAATATACATCTGGCATTAAGAGATGTAATGTAGTTGCAGAGTTTATTAGATTCTAATGCCATTTCAGGTTACAGAGCAAAAAACGCTTTGTGGAGCATTTCATTTTCCTTTAGAAGAGAGATTTTAGCTACAAAGATTCAAATTATTAGAATATTAACTAAGCAAAAGGGAAAGCATAGAACATTGTTGAAACACACATGTCAACACTGCCTGCCTAGATAGGCGTTAAATATACATACACACTCAGGTACTGTATTGACAAGATAATGTCATTGACTTTCTTTCGTTGAATGGAACTATATTATCTATTTATTTCACATGTTTAATCAATATAATCTCTTAGTATCAACTGAACTAATCTCTTAGTATCAACTGAAGCACTATCTTGCGATAGAGACAATGTAGTACACAATTGAAGTTATTTTGTAAATTTAATTTACCTATATCTTTTTGTTAGGTGCAGTCTACATTGCCAACTAATTTAGGCTTTAACAATAATAATAATAATAATAATAATAATAATAATAATAATCATCAATCATCATCATCATAATGAACTCCAGACCTTTAGGAATGATCCTGTCCCTTTTTGTGTTATTTCAGTAGACCAAGAAGATTCATCTTCTAAGTGTTCCTGATTTTTCCATCTCGTTAAAGGTTTCAGTGTCCAGTTCCATCCAATCCCAGCAGTGTCTCTGTTTCGAAATGGTTTATATTTCCAGAAAGGTTTTTTTTTTTTAGTCTAACTCTCCATCCTGCAAATGTGTTTTTTCCATCTCTTTTTGTGATTTTTAAATTGTTTAAACATTTTTAATTACACTAAAAGAAGGGCATTGTTGCCAGCGTTATGTAATTATTGCGTTACAGTGAGTTAAGTGGTATTCAAACTACTCCAATTTCACATTTTGTAATTTATGGATGACCTCCTTAACAACTCATCTACTAAAGTAAATATTAAAATATTATAAATACATTATTCTGGATTCAAATACAGAAAGTAATACTTTAAGTAATAAATTATCATTGTGAAATTGAAAACATTTCATTGGAAAGAAATTAATTATGCAAGAATCTTGAAAAAACATCGAGTCTATTGAATCACAATTGTCAACCAAGTTTAGTAAAGCATACATTTCACAACCACTGATGATAATATATTCCATAAAATCATAATTTCTAAACTTGCAGCACAGTACCAATAACAAATTCCCTTCATTTAAGAGCAAGTCAATTTGTTTCAAAAGCTTAAATGTTAAGCCAAATTATCCATTAGAATTTAGAATTCTCTGACAGTACAATATCCAAAATTGTAATGACACTAAAATTACAGGGTTTCCATAATAAAAATGTAGATTGAAAGAAAAAGGTCTGAGGTAAATTTTTGTTTCAGGAAGATCAACAATAAAACTGAATGTGAAAGAACATTAGTTTTCACACATTGAATTCCTCGTGATAGCATTCTCGCAAGTCCAGCAACTGATCTAAATTGGCTGAATATTCATCATTTTCAAGCCCCGAGTTTCCGAATTGGTGAAACTGACGTAATTTCAATTTCTTCACTTGAGAATGCAAACTTTCCAACATATCGCCCACACTCCTACTACTATGCAAGCCAGCAATAACAGGAACAGATTTTACCCCTGAAAGAATAAAAACAATTATTATCGAGAAGTAGGTCACCATATTTCATAAATGTTTCTTCAAAACATTAAAAACAGAATTTATTATTCACAATATTGTATTAAGTGCTTGATAAATTTCAGATAAATGAACATAAACATTTTGCACAAATCTCCTCTTTACAGTGATTTTTATTACTTCCCCACTAATAGTCAAATCTTAGGACCTTGTCAGTGATCTCTACAGTATATCACTGAATATCACAAAAATAATAATTTAAAAGGCTAAATACCATAGTAGGAGAAATCAAGGAGCATCAGAAACAATCACATTACCCAAGTAAGCTCTTTTAACAACAGTACACATCCGTATCTTTTAAGAAGTTATATTTTCTGTCGTAAGTCACAGCCCAAAGAATGAGTTACTGAGACCTTTGTTCTATCAATAGCCTCATTCATTTTTGATAGAAACATAGCAAATAATATTTTCACAATCTTGCTAAATACTGTCAACACATACTTCTAGTAACACAACAAATTATAACATGAATAAAAGGTCTATTCAAGAGATTCTGAGAGGATGCATTCCTGGTATGTACTTTTTAACAAAAGACCAGGACCAGTAATTGTTTTAGGGCCCAATGTGGAAAAAACTGACAATCTCAGTCACAAAGGAAGTGGTAAATGTTGCCAGTAGAGGATAGGAAATATCAGGGACCTTAAGTTATTAAGACTGATACCTTCATGAATTCATTTTATTTAATAACATACAGGAAGCAGTATCACTGATAATGCCCTAATCTTTGGCAACATTGTAGTTTGTATGAAACATACAGTAAATCCAGCTTAAAAGGAATATTGTCATAACATGAACAATTATTTCAATATTTTCAAATTCTTTGGAATTTGTGTTTATGAAGATTTACTGTAATTGTTTACATGATACATATATCATATTATTTCATAATTAAATAATTATTACATCACAATGAAACATGACTTGGGTTGTTCTTTGTTGTTTCTCCTAGTATGGCAACCGAACATGAGAAATAACCTTTTAGCCACATCACAGGAACAGAATGGGTCAAAGGTCATGTGTGTGAGATCAAATTTCATTAGCAATTGAAGAGGAAGAATATTTTTTTTTTGGTAATGAGAAAACTAATCCCTTTATTTGAATGAAAATCTTCAATATTAACTACATACATGTATTCTTCCAATCAATAAAAATATTATTTCTTCCTGTTTAAAATAAATATTTAACTTACCACAGTTTTTTGGTCTTGAAACATTGCTAACAGTTCCATCTTGCAATATATTATCAGAAAACAGGTTTGGAAATGGAGGGCTGACTTTGCATGGAAAGTCAGCAGTATGTGCCAGCGATGCAGTTGCATATGAACAACAGGAGAGAAAGAGAGAAAGCATTTCCTGTACAGTTGTACATCTATACGCTGGATTCCAATCTCTATAATTGTGGCTGGAGCTGTATCAACAGAAAATTATCTTTTAGGAGACATATGGCTGACATACTAATAACAAGTTTATGTAAGTTATGATTTATCAAATATTTTTGACTTCATTTCCGGCAGAGGTGTCACAGTTATCACCACATTCTGAATTGATGATGCCCGTTAAAACTTACTTGGGTATGTGCCTTATGAAGATGAGACATCAGGTCATTGTCAGCCCTAAGGATGCGCCAGAAAGGAATAAGAATATATGGCCCATTTGTTTCAGACAGTATACCAGCAACTGCCAAGAAATTATTAGAGAAAATCACAGAAATGACTGATCGATTCAGTCAACTTCTAGAATTCGCATCCATGCAACAGATGATCTGGCTATTAAGCTGGTGTTGAGAATGTCAGTTACTAGTATCTAGGATACCTCAATCTAATTTTTGCAAACTTGTATCTACTAATATTTTTGCACATGGCTGGAGCTTTTAAACACTATCGCAAATACTGCATCAAAATTGAGAGATCAACTCCATCAAACACTTTGGCAAAATCTATGTAAATTGCATCTACCAGAGTGCCACTTTCCAGAGCTTCAATGATAAAAATTTTATAAACAGTAAGGCTGTTGATCTATGGTTTCTAATGGTGGTCAAAATTGAAATGGGACAGTAATTTTCAATATCGGATACCTTTTTCCCCAAGCCACCATGCTTGATTTCCATAATGTGGGGGAAATGCCGCAACGATTGATTAAAGAGCATCAAGTATCACAAGAGAGCATAATTAGAGTTCTGAAAAAAATATATTGGATATTAGATTAGGAACAGATCCCTTGATTACATTCAATTTACCATTAGCTTCCAATATGTTCAGAAGGTTGAGTTTAATACAATGGAAATCAGTCACAAAGTTGAAATAAAAATTATTTACAGTTACTTTATTGTAGAATCTGCTCCCAGAATATAGACTGCTGAAAAAATTTAGCAAACAAGGAAGCGAAACCTAGACTGTACCAGTCATTGAATTCCCCCCAAAGGCATGACACCAAGTAGTTTTACTGAGATGTAGTATTCCTAATGCGAGTCAAAAAGACACACGTTTTTAGCAATAGATTCCTAAGTCGAAACAATTAATCTTCAATAAACTTTATGTTGTGTAAGTTTACATTTCAATCTCAAGAGCAGAGAATCCATAGTATGAAATACTCAATTTAAGTTTTTTAAACTGCTTATGATATTTTTTCTTCTCTGCAATTAGAAACCTAAATTCAGCACTGTAGTGAGGATAATCATGTGGGAACAAATAGGTTTACCAAGAGATATAAAATCTCATAAAATAAACTCACATTTTTGTTAATTTCATAAATAGAAAAGCACATGACCCATCAATGCAATTTAGATGGTAACGTATTTAAAAATCTCCAAGCCAAAAAATCATATACTATAGTCTGATGAACACAACAAATCTAATTACAAGACAATGGAATTTCAAAAACCAAAGCCAGACGATAACAATTGCTTGTTTACAGGGCGTCGATGCACTGAGACACAACAGAACGTTAAGACAGGATCAAGTGAAGCAGTACATTATGCGAATTTACGATGTTATTGTGTTGGAGGGTATTAAAGACAACAAAAGCATCTAGCAGGAACCAAGCAGCTTCATCAATCTGCAATGATGATGATTGCACTCTGGCACCCTCCACCTTTTGAGCTCTAGTTTTTAAAGAAAAAATGTATGTATTATAAATTAATTGTTCAATTAAATTCAACTGTCCTTTGATTAAAAATGTTGAGTAATAAATGAGGAAAAGGTCTAGCTTTAGGCCTCATACAAGGTTAACTTTCCACAGACATATTTTGCGTTTTGACTAACCATTAGATTTTTATGACCAATATGTTCAAGGAAAGTAAATTTTTTTTTGAAGTTTAAAATGTAGTCACAAACCGAACATTTATAATATAACAACTGCCCTAATGTAGTAGTGATTTTGCCCTAATTGAAGAATGGTAGTAGTGTACATTTAAGGGAAAATGTTACATTATATTTAACGATATATTACAATCATTAGGGAGTTTTTACCGGGCATAGTGTAATAGCAATTGACAGCACTATTGATCTTCTGTGCAGGCACAGTTTCAAGTTTTGCATCACTTTTGCGCACCTGTGCTTGAACGAGATTGCAGTCGATTGCTGTACCATGCAAAAACTCTGCATTTTCAGGAAGTTTGTCTTAAAATAATTTTAATTGTTCTCTATGTCAACAGAAACTAAAATAAAATTGCAACATGTTTATTCGTAGGCCTCGCTGTAAGAGAGCATTCCACGAAGGAATAATACCTGCCAATGATTTAAATTGCTTTGTATGTGATAAGCAATGAAACTACCTCTTACAGCTAGAAAAGGAAGTGCTTAAGGAAGTAGTAACACTGTACCTAAACAAAGACACAAGAATGAAAGCTATACTGAGGTCCGGCAATGACTTCCCTCACAATCAGTATATCTCAATTTATATTCAGACTGCAATCAATGTTTCATTCCTCTGATGGACACAACTTATTTGCTTAAAATTATTTATTTTCATTGTGAAAAACAAAAGTGAAAAGGCTTCTTAAAAAAAACTTACCACCAGTCATCCATATCCAGGTTGAGTTGAGTTTCTCCTCAAGTAATATTTCTACATCAGTGATTTTAGTTTTCAGTGACAGCACATTTTGGTGAATAATGTGAAAATAGGTTTTATTTTTGTGTATTGTCTGCTTTCCTGCTGATGTTTGATGCAACAGGTTATACAAAGGATGTAAATGTTCCTACACAATCTGTTCCCAATTTTTTAACATTGCAGCTAATGATGGGTAGTTGTAGTAATTGTCCATCCATAAACTGTGGTGTGTGGCAAGGACTGTATTAAATTTAAGGCAATTTCTCTCGTTTTATTTATAGTTTGTCTGAGTCACTAATTTCATATGATACATAGCACATAGAAGACTATGTATTAACTGTTTCTTTAAAAAACATCCACAAAGAAATAGAAACACTTCAATCGATATTAATATATTTGTATCAACAACCACACGCAAAGAAACCGAAAACCCGCCGAAATACACTGCTTGTTAGAACACGACACCACCAAGCAATCAGCGTCTATAGACGACACACCGTAAATGAGAGGAAAGACAGGTTAAGATCCCTTTTGTCCTGAGATGGCTTACTACGAATGGAAAATCTAACCCGTCCAGGTACGGCATATTAGGTTTAGAAGAGGAAGAAAATTAAAATTGTATACACGAGTCAATAATAATAATAATAATAATAATAATAATAATAATAATAATAATAATAATTATTATTATTATCAATTATCATATTATTACTCTGTACACAGGTATCAAATTATACAGACTATTGCAGACAACATAAGGCATTACCTTGTATTATCACCAATGAATGTAACCTATTAAACAATATTGTTACACTTCATTGAAATAACTGGCTACACTGGATACTTGTTCGGAACATACAATATAATATATAATATACAATATATAATGTAAATATTCTTTTTTAATAGGTTTACCAGAAAATAGGGTCACAAAAGTTTTAGGAAATGAAAGTAGATTTTACAAACGAAAGTTAACAAAAAATTTTCATCAGAAATATTCTAAATACTAAAACGTACCTAATTATGCAATATTTACTCAAATTGTTAATAAATCTGTAAGTATTGTCACATACCAAGGAAGAAAATACACCGAAAGAAATTAAAAACATACCTTATTAGCTTATCTTGAGTGATACCCCGCAGCACTATTGACTGGATCCAAATGCGATCCTCATTTAAAGAGCAGTTTGGTGTAAGGCTTTGCCACAATGGACCTTCCCACTTCTCCAAAACATCCAAAAGGAAGGAATCAGCAGGCATAGTGAAAGGCAGACCCACACTTGCAGCAGCTGCTTTTCGACCCACACGACTCAAGCAACTGCATAGGTCTGTGAGCCTTGCCACCTCCCCTTGACGCTTGCGGTAGCTCAAAGTGAGGGTGTCCAAGGCAGATGCAAGGATGGCACTTGTGTGATAAGGAACAGTGCTCTAAACACCAAACAAAAGGTATGTAAAACCAAAATTAAGACCATGTATTTTGACTTTTTTTACTTCAAGACAAAGTATAATGCATTAGAAATTTGACATAACAAATGGAACAGAGTTGATGATACATTTCCTGATTTTCTCTCTCTCTATTTCCAAATGTTAAAAATACAAGTATAAAATTAAAATATCTAAAAATATTTTTAATGCACCAATCACAAAGAATCCAAGGACTATTTAACACTTTATTATTACTTACTCTATCTTATATTTTCAAACTGCCAAGTAAACTTTTGTATCTTGAAGTAAAGAAATTTGTAACAAATCACACATTAGTATTTAGATCATGAAATCTCCAGAACATTTGTAACATTTCCTCTCAACCATTACTGACATGTAAATTCTCATTAATACTCAACATCAAGGGTACAATATACTTTGGATACACTAATGAATTGTGTACTCCGTTTCTTCTCAAATATACTAATTAATATTTTTTATTCCAGCACCACTTCCAATAACAAAAATTATAATAACTAGCATTCATTTGAAAAAAATCCCTACTGGTGTAGCTACATTAAATTTTAAAAAAAGTCTATACAGTATAACACATACACGCAGCACAAGACTAACATTTAACATAACAAGATTTCCATTCTCTTTCTCATGAAACAGCGTTGGAATGGATATTTCATTGTGTATTAAATGCATATAATCTATTTATAAAATATAAAACAATAAAATAAATATTAATAAAACAGAACAAATACAAGTTCACATTTCATGCATTTCAAAACATTTGTTTTTACAGAAAATTGTGACATACACAAGTTGTCAAATGTCAAGTAAAATGGGGATTTTTTCCCCCACTAGTGTTAACAAACTATAGGAAGAATATTTTAAATGACATAAGAAAAGTTCAAAATATCGCATATTTCTTCAATTAAATCACCTCCAAGTACTAACCTTGTATTCAAACATCTATACTAACATTTCATGTTTTCTGAAATGTTCTATCAAATACAAATAAAAACTTGTGACATGAAAACACTACAGCCACCGAAAACAAATTTGTAATTACAGACAGACACAGACACTTCACAATTTAAAAAAATATTTTTTAGTTTATGTTGCAGTATAACAATACAAAAATAATTTTTCTTGGTTAAAATGACAACAAATTTCCACTTTGATAATACTTAAGAATGATACAAATACTTTCATTTTTTCTTCAACATTTCTTGATTGAAAGTATTTCTAGAAAATGTTCAATTTTTTTCTTCACTTGTTCTCACCATCGAGGGTGCACAACCTTGAAGATCCACTGGTGATAATTGTTTACAACATCACATGGCATCAGTTGAAGATGAGAGGTCTGAGGATGCAAAGCCACACACTTCTTATGAACACGATGGAAAAGTGTACGAGTTTCTGTATTGTATTGCCAAGGACCATCTACTGTGCCAAGTCGACAAAAAACAAGCTTAATTCCTTGAGCATCACCTTCAATACATCTTTCACCAACTCCTAGCTGTCCTTTTGCATTTAAACGTAGCAGCTGATTTGTACCAAAACCATGGCACGGTGACATACCCATTAAATTAGGGGGCCCAAGACCCATTGTATCCATGCATGTCTGGGATGCCACATTACGAAGTTCTCCCCATTCCAAATTTTCAGGCAGTTCTGGGAATTTATCAAACACATCATAAGCTACATTTTCCATGTACCACTGAAAACTTTTGCACTTCAGTTTCTCTTTGAGAGTTAGCTGTTCAGTAATGTTTCCATGATCCAGAAATTGAGCTAGGGGTTCTCGAGTATAAAAATATTTCTTATATTTAGGGTCAAACCAAGTTTCTATAACTCGCTTATAATTGATGGTAATCAAAGGTCCCTTTTTCTTCTGAGCCAATTTACCAAAGTTGTAAGGCATGAATCCTCTGTAGACATGTCCAACACGAGAACATGGAACCCATTCAATGCTGCCTCCACACTGCCATATCTTAAAAGAGAGTTCAAAATTTTCACCACCCCAAACCAGAAGACCAGGATCATAGGCTCCAAGAGAAAGAAAAAATTCACGATCTATTGCAAATAAACCACCAGCATGAGTTGGAGATTTATACGGTTCACTCTGGTGCTTCCTTTTACTTGCTTCGCGAGAAGGGAGTTCATTTTCTTTGTATAACATACCCCATTCAAAAATTCCTCTGTAGTGATGACCAGATTGATATACTGGGCGATACTCAAAAGTTTTATGATCTATACCGTCAATGACAGGTACAGTCATAATAGTTCGATCTCGATAAATTGGAGCTAACAGAGGTGGAAGCCAGTTGACATTTACTTCACAATGAGCATCCAGAAACAGGATAACTTCACCACGAGCTTCTTTTGCACCACGAGACCTTGTACGAATCAGCCCTTCCCTTTCTTTGTTTCTTATTAATCGTACTTTGCCATCAAATCTGGCGATATACGTTTCCAGATTCTTTTTCAAATTTTCCTTATCACTGAAATCGTCTACAAGCAAAATTTCTTCCAAGAACTGGGGAGGAGTTCTGTTGATTACACTATGAACTGTTCGTATCAGAGTGCTCCACCCTTCATTATGAAAAACAATAATGACACTCGTTTTGGGTAAATCTTCGGGATAGTCCCAATGTTTACATTCCTGCAATCTAGTGTCAGGAATATTTCTATTAAGAGAAATTTCATCTGAGCATGCCATATTCATTCCATAATCCGACAATGACTGAGCGGCGTCGTTTTGCTGATCATCGCGTAGATGATGTGGTTTACCTTCTTCACCGGCGCCGGTTTTGGCTGGTCCATCGTCTTTTGGCTCAAAATTACCTAAATGACTAACCCATTGAGGCGCCTTTCGGTATTTTTCACTTTTGACATTTAGAACATTAACCTCACTTGCTTCGCTTGACACAGATAGCCAATACAAAACAGGCAAAATCATGCAAACCACCAAAAAAACACGGAAAAGTCTACTTTTTCGCAACGAAACAATCCTCATTTTGTTAAAGAAAATATTTTACTATCTAACATCACAAACAAGCACAGCACTCTCGTTGAGCTGTGCCAACGTGTCAGCTCCGCCGCCTCACTGTCGACACATTCCGAGACCTGTTGTATTAACCGTAAGCACCCTTTCAGCCGGTTTCGTTACTTAACGGTACAGTTAGTTTGCGTCACTAAGACGCCAACTTCACACGAACCTTTTGGATTAAAACCGCGGAATTGCATAAATACACTCATTTATAAAACCTCGGACTTCATTCACTGATGGTTAATTACAAACATTTGTTGAGATTGCTGTCACTCGTTTCAATCCCCGTTGACGGCTGTCACATACATGATATATTTGCTGTGCACAATAATATTTCATTATAACTTCACTTTCAGAATTATGAATTTAAAATCTCGGAATTTTCCCTACTGTACAACTTCGCAACTATGGTCCAAATGGACCTTCGAGCAAAAACATTTGTAAAATTAACTGTTAAGTTACCGCTAATGTTTAGAATTGGTATTTTGATCAGACACTCTGTGTTGCAGTTAATTTCAGAAGCAAACACAAGATAGCGACATTGGTTTTTCTACTGAACTATATGATTTCGGGGGGTATATTAGGGTGCGAGGCCTCAGCTAAGTCTCAAATACGGTCCAACTGTTTGTCATTGAAACTTCAGCTTGGTCCATAGTTGTCAATATGGTGTTCCTAGAACAATGGTCCAATACTTCAAATGTAACTATTTTTGTTAAAACATTGTTAATGTTTCAAGTTAACTGTTTCGAGCTGAAGCAAAGAAAAAAGAACTGGCATATTGCATCCTGTGAAATAGAAGGAGA